TATATAAAGTCTTATGGTGCTAAGCCAGCTGGCAAAATAATTTTGAAGCAAAAACTGGAGAATTAAAGAAAATACCTTTACACATTAGTTTTCCATATTCCAAAACCAGTTACTTCGAAAATATAGAAAGATTCATATTTTATGCCCTTTATTAGTTTATAGAATTGAGAAAACATAATCAAGAGGATCAACCTACTTTTTTATGAGGCAATATAAATTTTCATCGTTAAAGCATTGCAATTACAAATTGCCAAGAATTTGAAGTTATTAAACTCTGAATAAAATATTTGTAAATATATCTATTTTTATAGATTCAAAAATTCAATTTAAGCCTGTCTATCATAAGAAATGATTGATTCATACTTATTGAATATCAATAATGTTTCAAAACAAAAACTTCGGATCTTATCTTTTATATTCTGAATTTATCAAATAATCTATTGACTGTTTTTCTAAATATTTCGCTAAATTGGTCATTTAAAAATCAACATGAAAACCTTCAAACGTAATTTATACAAAATTTATATTTATAATGATTTTAGACCCTACTGAAAAATTTCAGAAAAATAAAAGCCACCGGATTTCGATTCAAACACTAAATTTGATATAAAACGGAATTATGAAAATATAAATTTGATGATTTTTTTATTAAAAAACCCAAATATTAATAAAAAATTAAATTAATACCATCCATATTATAACATAAATAAAAAAATTAATTCGTTTCTTTGCAAATATAATTAAAAATAGCTACTTCATTTAGATTCTTATATGAATGTTTTATAGTTTAGTTTCGGAAAGCTATATTTAAAAATCAAATATAATTCATTAATAATTTATAAATCGATTTAAATAGTTTAAACGGTTCAATATTAAATTTAAACATCGGAATATAGTACATAAATCCCCACACTCAGCAAATGAATAAAAATAAGAAAGCAGGTATATCCATAAAACTGATTTACTAATTATGTATTTTCCGTTAAAAACCTTCTTCCAAATACTGTTATGCAAATACTGTACCAACAAGAATATATCATATAAGAAATTGTTACACAATTATTTTTCTTAAATATTTTAATTATATTTGCTCAAAAGTTTCATTTATATTTAAAATGAATTTATAATTTTTAAATAATTTTGTCATTTGGAAAATAGGAATAAGGAAAAATTTTGATAACGAAAAATTAAACATAATAAAAAAAAGGTTGCAAAGACGCCGATGGGGCAATTAATAGTGAAAAGTAGTGCAACTCCGTAAACAATCCTACCCGAAAACCCCTAACTTTCTCTTATACATAAATAATAGACCCTGCATCAGACCAGATATGCAATAACGCACAATACTGATAGGTTGACACCCTACCATCGTCTTAAAACCACTTCTCTTTTCCTCGAAGCTCTTCTTGCAGCCATCGTACGAAACGACAAACCCCATACTTTAGCTATTCCCAAAGGTAACAGGCTAATAGTCTTGCTGACGATATTTGATTCTGTAACAGCCAACCCAGAAGACTGCACTAAGATTGTTTTTCTTTTATCAGTACAAACAAGTTTTAAAAGAATGGTTTGAAATGGTTGTAAAGAACTTCACGGGTTATATTGGGGGGATTTGGCTGCTCTGTAACCCTAGAAGTGTTAAAAAGTTAGCAAAAACGAGATGGAAAGACAAGTATAATTAGAAGAGGATGCAGAAAGATGTAAAATCGCCTCTTGTCTCACCAGTCATTCACCTTGTTTGACAAGACTTTTTACATAAATCTGTAAGATAATTTGTTAGTAAAACCAAAGAAATTCATGAGAGGAAAGTAGAAACGCTGTGTTAAGATTTAATAACAATCAAATAAATTAGGTTGATAGTAAAATTTAATACCTCATCCATAGAATAGTCGATGAGTATGCTTATTTTAAAGTATCCGGGTCACTTACAGACGCTGCACAAGTATGTTTGACGAGGCAACACGCAAAAAAAGCAAAATCTGCTTTAAATAAAAACATAGAAAGTAAAATTTGCGATTTATTACTGTTTAAAAATTCACCGGAGAGGGCCTTAGACCGGAAAAATTGCTCTGCTTCGGGAAGAAAAGCCCCAAGAAAATCATGCGAGAGTTAATTTTATACTTAAGCAATGTAGATGATCTTTCCGAGGCTCTATGTTAGAAGAATAAGCCTTGACTTGTTATGTATAGGCACTTCGATGTATGAAAGTAGCAAGTAATTCAGTTTAGCATCGTATTTTGAGTTTTTAGGAGGCGAGTCTGTCGGGGATTATCTCGGCGTGTTGAATCTGAGCATGTGGTAAGTTGTATTTAAATTGTGAGTTTTTGACCTATAATAAAGCACAAAACGACGAAACTGCTCTGATATAATTATTATTGATTACATTTGTATCAGATAAAATGCTAACATGCTTGCCTACCTTCATGTATTGATAAGTAGCATTAGTTGGCTTTTCGACAGGAAATCTACTGGAAATTACGATATTTACAATTTTAATGACGAGAAACTTATAACTATTTACAAATGTCTTTATGATATTGTAAAATATAAATTTTTAGAAAGTAAATTTCAAACTGATTGGTTCTAATGTGGCCTTAAGCATTTGATCTCAAAGGTAAAACCGAAAAGAGACTCTGAATAGTCAAATCACTTTCTATTTCCAACCTTTATAAGTTAATGACAAAGTATGTTTCGAAAGTCGTCTTACTTGAAGTCGGAAAGGTGAAACTAACATGCAAAAAACCAATTGAGAGCGGTAAGTAGTATGCAAAAAGACAACAACGCAAGTCCTATTGAAGTTTCCCTTTATAAAGAATATTGGAAAACCCTTAATACAAGTTGAATTAAACAGCGAAAAGCTTATAATTTCATAAATCATGTATTTTTGGCTCAGTGTAGGAAAATACTTAATTTATCCGCTTGATCTTTGGGGTAAATGCAGGAATAATATCCAAATCAAAAATTAATAATCTGATAGAGCCTGAAAAATTGTGAAAAAAGAAGGTTGAGAGGTAAAATTGACATTAATTAGTTTGTTACGGAAGTTTTTGTGTTGTATATGAATCTTTTGAGCTACAAACTCAATGAGAAATACACAAAAGTGACAATACACAATGATACAAATCCTTATACTACAAATATTACTAGTCAGTGTTCTTTAACTCTTCGCAAAGGCTATATATTAGAAGCTATAATAAGTGAAGCTAAGAATTTTCAAAGTTTATTTTATTAGAGATAAAAAATAGATGTTAACGCGAATTAAACGTGTTGTGAAGATATTCTACTTTTCTAGAAGGCGTTATTTTTTGTTAGATATCTAGGAATAATAGAAGATAGCAAAACTAATACAATACGTAGTTCATTTAGAGAAATACATAGCAATCTAATTTGGGAGTTGAAAGATATTTTGCATTAAATTAAACGCAAACAAATTATTTTTTGCAATTAATCAATATGCTATATCGTTATTAACCTATCATATGGAAGTGCTTTGACTTGAACCAGCCAACTTCTTTAATTTGGATGATGCAGCGCGGGCGGTGTCGGTGAAAAACAAGATATATCTTCGCCAAAAATATAAAGAACATTTTTACTTTCCCAGAACCGAACCAAGAGAGGCTTACATAGTGTTAAGAGGCAAAGCGAACACATTTTTTGCAACTCTTTGATTTTCAGAATTAAAAGAAATATCAACTTGAAAAGCAGCAATCCCAAAAGTAGAGACTACTAATAAAATAAATTATGCCTTAATAGAAAGCTTCTTAAAAGTAAAATTTGATTAAAAAAAGAAGTCACCAAGGCGAGTATAGAAGAATTAGATTACAAAAACATACAACAGAATATAAAAACCGAAAAATTATCGCAAAGTTATATAATGCAAGAAAAAATGAGTCTGAATATAAAGTAATCTCTCGGATGGCTAAACCTGGGAACATTAAGTGACGATATGGAGCAGTTTTATGCTATATTAAAGGTAGAAATGTATTCCAAAGCCGAATATATCTGATAACACTTAATATATCTAGCGACCTCGTAGGTAATTTGGCGACTCGATGTGAAAAAAGAATAAACGATGCTTACACCTGACGATACTATGAATTGCCTAGATGCCAGAGTCATTTCTTTTAAATGGATCCAAATTTAAGTCTTCAAAACAAATTATAAGCTCCTTACTCAAGAAATCCTTGAAAACGAGCATGCAGAGATAAGAGTGGATAACAAAATAAAAAGGAATGTCAAGATTCAGAATAATAGACCAAATACATTTGTTTTAGATAAGAAAAAAAAATATGATAGCACTCATCGAACTAAGAATTACTTACCGAGATCCACTTAATAAGTTAAAATAAGAAAAACTTAGGAAGTATGACCTACTATCCGATGAGTTAGGCCTTTGATAAGTGTACTATTATGATGCTGCCTTACGTAATGACATTAGACGGTGTTGTGAAAAAATAAAATAAGTCATACCTAAATAGATTGCAAATACCCAGGAATATAGAGACATAAATCCAAAAGATTGTACCTTAGAATACGGTAGAAACAATCTTCTTTGATTAACGAAGAGTACCTGCACCAAATCTAATACGGAAGATAGCTGAGAAAAAGCCACGATCGGTGTTATTAAGAGAGCCAAAATGCACGAGGAAAGATAACCCCTTTAAAACAAGCGAGTAAGATGAAAAAGGTGGTAAACATTTAAAAACAAAAAATATTACACACATTATTTCCGAAGATGAACGCGTTAGAGGAATCGACGATTAACATCAATGAAGATACTGATTTATAAAAAATGAAACGATAGTGATTAAATCGGTAGAAGAATATACATGCAAATGATAAACAAAGTTTTAACCCAGAATTTTATTTAATAAAAAAGTTATTAAACCAGATTTAAAACTTAACTTTAAACATTATTTAAATCATAAATTTATATATAAAGAAGTTGAAATGAATTCTGTTAGACAAAAAAACAGTAAATTAAAAATTAAACAAAAAATTCTCGCGAGACGGATTTGAACCGCCGACCCTGTGATAACAGCTTAACTCTACAGTCACATGCTCTGCCACTGAGCTATCGCGAGCTGAAATTTCTTAAGTATATACATTATAAATAATAGCAATACATATTAAAAATATAAAATAAACTTATATAAAATTTCTAGTTTTAACATAAATATATAAAAATAGAAATTATAAATATTTTTTCAGATAGAATTTTCAAATTAAAATACAAAATTTATCAAAATTTGTCCCTAAGAATACGATAGAAGGCAATAAAATTTCTTCAATCCAATACTGATTTTTTAAACTTAGGGGATGATTTTAACCTCTAAGCAAAAAATTAAATTATTATATTTAATATCAATAGAATATACTTTTAAATAGTAATCAAGAAAACAAAATTTGTATTAAAATATGTACGAAATATAAATATAATTCATGTTTCAATTCTGATTAATCATTTTTTCTAAAAAAATCTTAACTACATTCAAATTTACAGTTTTAAATCTAATAATTCTATAACGTATTTGAATTATCAAATAAACGTTGAGAATAAATAAATGATTCAAAAGCATCTAAGAAATTGCACGTTTGAAAAAACTACAAAATATACTCCAATAATCCCCTAATTATACAAAAAGAAATTACGTTTCAAATAATTCGTTTTTTTTATTTTCTTTTAAAACCCAAGGAAATTCTAAATAAAATTCAATATCGTAATGAAAATAATTTTTTCAAATTAAAATTACATCTTTTCTATACAGCGACACAGGTTATATTGTTTTCATGACATTTAAAAAGTTCTATAATTAACATAGATAACTGCTCTTAATATATCCTAAGTATCTCGTATGATACCTTCATCATAAAGCTTTTCATCTAAAAATATTTAGATGCTATATAGTTGCAGAAAAGTAAGCCAATTAAAATGTAGGATGCAGATAGCAGTTTAAACCCAATTTGGACTTTCCAACGATGCACTGCATTTCCAATTACTGTACGCCTACCATATCAACTAAATTCTAGCCAAGATATATTTTAGCGACTTACATGGAACCAAGTAGATTTTATAAGGCCATCCAACACATATAGTTTGCTAATATGCATTCCCGGGTTTTAAAATGTATGTATTTTTGTATCTCTCAGGCGCCAGGTCTTCTAAATTCTGTGTGCAAGGCTAGGTTTTGAAATTTTTCTAAATCAATTTCAACTGTAAACCTAAAGAACAAAATCCAATGCATAAAAAACTACAAATTTCTTGATAAAAAAAGTTTCCGTTATTTAGAATATCTCCTACTTATGCAGGTCCAATGTTCCATTGAGAATTATATATGATAAAAATCTGCCAAAAGTATAAACAATGACAGTTACTTTGATTTCATCTGATCATCGCAAAGTAGAAAGTTTTAGTGCGGTTATCTTCCCTTCAAAACATAAAATTATAAATAAATAAAATAAATCTATGAAATAGAATATAAACCCAAGAAAAAAGAATAAAAGGTATTGAAATAAACTTTAAATTTTTGAATTTTTAATCAAAAAATTATAAATTTAGTAAAAATATTATTTTATTTAAATTCTTATCATAAATATAATATTTAGAAATTTAAAAAATATTTACTTTCTAACAAATAATTTTTTATTTTTTTATATTTATTCTGCATTTTTTGTAAGATTTTTAGTTTTAATAGAATTAAGTTTAAGATTGCTTTCTATTTTATGATATAAAATTTTATCTTCTTTTATTTCAAAAAGTAGATATTCTGACATATCCTGGGGTAAATTGCTATAAGTTTTGTCACCATTTGTGATAATATTAGAATATCCACCAAAAGAATTTTTTAGATTTTTTAATTCAATATTTTCTGGTTCATCATTTAAAAAAGTTGCACCCAGTAAACGCATTTCACCAGGAAAAACATCCAACACAGTTTCTATTTCATTTGGTAAATTTATATTCTCTTCATTTCTATGATTATTTACAACTTCTATTTCACTATCTTTATAATCAGAGGTATTATCATCTGCTTCTTCCATCATTCCATCAATTTGTTTCTTTTCGATTTTTATATCCTCAACTCGTTTATCAATTTCTTTGAATTCGTATATATTTACATTTTCAAATGTTTTTTCAATCATTTCATTCCATTTGATGCAAGTATCTTCTACTACTCTCTCTTCTTTAATACTTTGTAAATTATTTCGTAAAACAAATTCATCTTCTTCTAACGGTAAAACTTGATTATCTACATTTTCATTCAAACCATCTTTTAATTCTTCAAAAACATAGGAAAATAAATCAATGTTTAAAACAGAAAGAATTGGTGTATAAAGTTTTTTTGGAATTTTAGAATCCAATGAATCGTCATGAGCTGTAAAATCGTGTTGTATTTCCAAAGGTATTTTTTTTAAAGAAGGAAGTGGCGGTGGAGGTGAAATTAAATATTTATTTATGTCTTTTAAATTATCATCATTGAAATTCATTTTCTATGGGTAAATCAGTTTCTATTTTTTTACACCAACGCTAAGAAATTTTTCTTAAATTTAATACTTCTTAAAAAATAATTTCTTTTTAAATTTAAGAAATTAAAGAAAAACAAATTAGAATGAATAAATTTTTAAAAGAAATATTTCTATAATATTAAAATGAATAAAGAATAAGAAACAATAAAAGTTTAATTTGCAAAAATATTTATTTTTAGAGCTTCAAAAAATAAGAGAATGTATTTATAAAATATATTTTTATATTTGCACTCAGATTACAACTAAAAAAATTTTCAAAAGTTAGTCTAAAGAAATGATTTTATTTAATGTTGTAAACCATACGATTCTTTTTTAATTTCTTAAAAAAATAAAATTAGTTTAAAGGTTTATGAAAAAAACAGAAAAGACAGAAATTGGAGTGATGGATATCATATGAAAACATATTTTAATTATGTCTTTTATCTGCTGTTTTATTTTTCCATAAAATTATTTCGTACACAAATATATTTTATGCTGTGCCGAAAGACCTCCCTTTACGGTGTATAAAAGGCCCCCTGAAATTACATTTTGGTTTAACAGCAGTATAGTGTGTTAATATGCTCTCCTGGGTTCTTTATAATACTCTCTTTTTAAATTACAAGAATTGGAGTCAAAAACTACGAATAAAAATAGTAAAAAAACGAATTATCTTTAAATCAGCTACATTTCTTTAAAAAACTATTTTAGTAGCGTAGCTGTTGTTTTTTTAAATTTTCGAATTTTTATTAAACTATAGTAAGGATGCCTATAATATAATAGGAACTAAAAAAAGAAGGAGAAGTTACAAACCAAATAAATATAAAGAAAAATAAATTAACTAAGATTAAAAGATTTCATTTATTTTTATTTTCGTAAATTTTTAATAAATTTTCAAGTTCATATTGTTGCAATCTTACTGAGATTTCATATTTTTTCTCCGAAACGGTTATTTGAATCCAAAGAAAACATAAATATAATTTTTTTAGACCAATCGGAATTGAAGATGAGAAGATCCGCCAAATTTCACCTTTGGCTGGGATTAAAGCTCTGAAGCGTGGTTATTTATAAAACGACATACAATGTCCTTAGTTTCAAATTTTCTTTCTATTTTTTTGCTACTAAAAAGCCAAAATACAACTGAAATTCTAAATCCTTCTAAAATATACATACATTCAATGGATGGACTTAAAAAGACAGATATTCTATTTTCTTTGATTAAAGAAGAGGTAAAAAGAAGAGACAAAATGGAGATAGTAACCTGAAAAGTGCGTATAAGAATATAATACGAGGCACAAAACAATATATGCCCATATTTTATATACATCGCGAAGAGTAAGAGCTCTTGTACAGATTAAAATTTGAAATACCTCCAAAATCGCATAAGATATCAGATGGTCAAAGCGCCGGCTCAAATTCTCGCACAAAAATTTTCAATGAACAATCTAACAAAATTAAACGGAAAAAAATATAAAATAAATCAGCCAAAAAAATAGGAAACAACGAATTTTAAATAATTTTTATCTTATTGTATACTCGAAGAAGAATTTATTTTTCATATTTTAATATGTTATAATGAAAATTTGGGTTTGAATACACATCTTGTGAAGTTTATTCTTGCTTATATCGGAGCGTAAGTGAATAAAGAAATGGAAAGCAACATGATAATTTCATTATCTGATACATCATGCCTAACAAAAAATATTTTCTTTATAAAGAACAAAAAGGCTTTATACTTTATTAAAACAAACGAAAAATTGAAAAGGTGAAAAATTTATGACGAAATATTCTAAGCTATAGTAGTTATTATTAAATAAAAATGGATTATTCGATTTTCTCATAAAATATAAAATTATATTTTATTTAACTTCTAATGGTGAAAGAACGAAAACTACGAAATAACTAGTAAGATCCTATTAATAAACCTTTTATACAACAATTCTTGATTTAAAATGTTACAAAATCCTTTATTTAAAAGATAGAGCAGTCTCTATCAAATATACCTTTCATCCGGGTGCCTCGAGAGAGATTACGACATTTAAGAATAAGCAATAATGTGCTAAGTTGACCCAAAAACCCAATCTGAATAAATTAAAAAAGAAAAGAAATGCTGATTTACTAACAACTGAAATCCAAGTTGAAATATATTACCGAGAGAGACCAATAGGATAGTAACAAACCAAACCTCCAATATAAGTTACGCAAAGAAAATACTAGAACAATCTGAATATATGGTACTAAAAATTCAATAATTTTGATGAAAAAAAAAGAGAAACATCATCTTGGTTGTTGAGACTAATCTAACAATCTAGGAGAAACTTTTTTGCATTAAATGAAAACTCCTATGGGGATCATTTAATATATTTTTTTTATCGAAATATCGATTAAATTTCTTTACATTGAAATTAATCAACCAAAAAGACGCAAAATCAGAATCTTTTTTAATGAATTCTATGCAATATGATAGTGCTATAATTCTATTTGAACTTATGCAAATATTGAAATTTCTCTTCCGCCAAGTTTATTACATCACCATATTAACAGAAAAATTTGCTCTCTTTCGAATACCTTGCATTCAGGT